GGAGAGAGAGAGATTTATGTATATACATGCATATATATATATATATATATATATATATATATATATATATATATATATATATAGTACTATAAATATCATTTCATGACGCCGCATAGTAATAGCCACGTGTTCCTGTGATCTTCCGTGCTCCAGTGGGGCCACAAACACAGTTACATCCACAAATATGCCACGGCATTGGCCTGCCACTCCACGCACACCCCGTTAGGGTATTGATCGAGATATTGACTTGCGTTGCCTGTGTGCGCCGTCAGTTAGTTGTCAAGCGCATATACGTCAGAGCACTGACACACTTGAGACTACAGTGATAGATTCACGAATTACTATTATTATTGTTATTATACATAATTATATATATATATATATATAATATATATATATATATATATATATATATATATATATATATATATATATCACGTACATCGGTTTGCATGGTGCCATGATATTGTGCAGAGTTGCTGTTTTGTTTATGCCCTTTTTTTGCTTCCTTTGGTTATGACCAAATGAGCTGTGCTCTACGCCTTATATCCCACCCATAATTTACCATTATCAAAATAACTATCGCCAAAATAGCGTTTTGCCGCTTACTTTCCCTCGAAGTGATCAGCAAATCCATGCAACATTTTTGGCTGACACGCACCGTTTTCCGCCGTCGTTTTCGCTCATTTTGTTCTCTATTACCGCATGGCAGAAACGTACCGTCACTGCGGGCCTTCTGAGTATTCCGCGTACCGCACCGAACTCGCGACCTTTCGTTCGGTAGAGGTCACAGGTCACAGGTCACCGGGGTCCGCCTCCGTTTCAGAGCTGCACGCGGTGGTGAACAATGCGGGCGTCTTCACGATTTCGGAGGTGGAGTGGTGCTCCCTGGACATGTACCGGCGTCTGTTCGAGATCAACTGCTTGGGCGCCATTCGCGTCACCAAGGCGTTCCTGCCGCTGGTGCGGGCGCACGGCGCAGGGGGCCGGGTGGTGATCGTCGCCAGCCTGGCAGGTCAGCTCAGGTCACGGGCCAGGTCAGACTGATGTCAGGTCAGGAGCGATTGCCGCTGGCGATCAGTCACCCATTCCGCAAAGCTATTCAGGACCTATACAGCACGGTTGGTTTGGTTAAGCATGTTTGGATTCAAGCCCCACAACGATACGCACTATAAACGACTTAATTTCATCGCGGTGTCCGCGGTGCGTAACCACCACTGCGGTCGGTAGGGTCAAGGTCAGGTCAGGTCAGGTCAGGTCACTTCCAGCTGCCGGTCACGTCAGCTCAGGCCACTTCCACCTGCCGGTCGCGTCAGGTCAGGCCGCGGCCGCCTGCCGGCCACGTCAGGTCAGGGCAAGCTCAGGTCGCCGACCGAGCGGCGCGGCTGACGCTCGGGCGCCTGGTCTGGCAGTCACAGGGACAGACCACACACCGTGACTGGGTCATTCAGCCGAGGAATCATAGTTTCAGAAGTCATTCGATGTCTTTTCGTAATTTACGTACCAAATTCGTGTTTAGGGCCAGAATTGTTTTCAGGGACAATGGGTATAAAAATGGCATGCTGCTGCCTATTATCAACTTTTTGCATGACATTTCAGACTATCACAATAGTACAACACGCATCCATCTACACCAGACCACCACGAAACAGTTTGTTCGCAATACGCCCAAGCGCTTTGGCGAGCAGGTTTGCCTGAGCCTAAAGGCTCAGATTCCAGGGAGCACAGCTTCAGCGCGTGCCTAGCCGTCGGTGGCAGATCCCGAAACGCGCCCGTCCCGCACTGCACTCTGCCCGCACGTGGTGTCGTGCTGAAACACGATCTGCAACATTGCAACATGACCTGCTGCGTCTCAAGAACCGGTGGCAGGCGCGTCGGCCGTCCGTCGCCATGCTCCAAGGCATCCGAACTCGCGTTGTTTCGAGTGCAGCGCTGTGTGTGTGCGGGGGGGGGAGGGGGTCGGTGGGAGCCGTAGCCGCTGACGCGCCTCGTGGCACTGCTGGCTTGGCCTCGTGCCACGCGTCAGCTGTTCGGCTGCCGCGCGCACGCTTACAACGGCTGGACAGCAGCAGTACGGTACAGATGTTACGCGATGATGAGTGTATCAAGCGAATGCCTTGAACCGTGTGGAAGTTGACAGAGCGCTTGCATACCCGCGAGTGTTTTCAAATGAACTCAAACATCGTCAAAGGATGCGACATTTGTCGTTTGTTAACGGCCCACCGCATATTATCGACTTGCTTTTCAAACGATGCGAACTAAACTGCGCCTTACAGTTTACAAAACTGTTACGCCTCTTTTTTAAAGTTGATGGACGGGGACGTCACTTCATATACTTCGTGAGAGACTGCTACCCCCATGCTGAATTGAGAAAGGCAGTTCAGATCAACCTAAAATGGGGCGTCATTCCTCTGCAGGAACATAATTTTGAATCTACGAAATATTGCAAAAAGTTTGGTATAAATTGTAGCATCGAGGATGCAAAGTGGCCGAAGTGCGGGAAAACATCAAATTTTGAGAGTGGGTTGGGTCAGCCTTTTCAGCTGAGCTCCGCTCCCCCCCCCAACCGATTTTATAAAGTGGCACCCCTGTTTGTGGATACCGGCTGAGGTGGCCCTGATCAAGTCTTGCCTCTATATTGACCTCCCTACATCGCTCCGATCCTGTCTTAAGTCTGATCAAATGACCTGATACGTAGGTGACCTTGTCAGCTTCATTATCTCGTACGCTACATCAAATGGCAGTTATGACCCCTCTGACACATACCTGATCTTGGATGACCCTGACCTTGAGATGCCTAATTTTGACCCCAGGTCGGTGCACCATACCGGACTTGTCAGCTTACTCGGTCTTTAAGCATGTCACCATCTCCTTTGCCTGGTGCGGCCCTGAATTGAACTCGGTCTGACCTTGACCTCGGCCTTGACTTGCCATCTTGTTTGCTATGGTCTGACTCTGACTCCACCCCACCTTGACCTCAGGCCGGTACACCATCCCGGGCCTGTCAGCTTACTCGGCCTCCAAGCACGCTACGATCTCGTTCGCGGACGGGCTGCGTCGCGAGATGCACAAGTTCAACATCTCCGTCCACACGGTGGAGCCGTCCACCTACCGGTAGGTGGATCAGTCCACACGGAGCTGGCGCGAGTCAGCGCCGGCGAGCGCAGCTGGCGCTGGGCGAAGATGAGCGTCTTCAGACCACCCCGTCCTGTTGATTCGGCAGCTTGATGGGGAGTTCACGAGACGGGTAGCGCGGGAAGGACTGGAGCGATATCTTCCGCCCTGTCAGTCACACATACGGTGCCGCGTCAGTCAACCTGAATTGCTCGCTATTTGGAGACAGGGAGCTTGCGGAATGAAAGTTAGTCGTTTTTAACACTTGTTCATTAAGTGGCGAACGCTCTTGTAAACACTCGCTTTTTCGCCGTTGGTTCCGGTGTCAGCGCGGCGGTCCGTTTTGTCCCTTAGAAGTGTGTGCTGTTCAGTTTAGACGGAGCTTTCGTGCTCAGTCGGTACCTGTCCATTCGTGCCCCTTGTCCTTAAAATCAACTGCCTACCAACAAACCGGCCAGACGGCAGCCCCCGTGCGGTCGACAGCATCTCTTGAGCCGGACTTCGAGCGTTACTGGACTGCATCTTCTGCGTCGGGCTCCGGGTGTAACTGGGCTGTATCTCCTGCGCCGGGCTCCGAGCGTTACTGGACTGCATCTCCTGCGTCAGGCTCCGGGTGTTACTGGACTGCATCTCTTGCGCCGCATTCCGGGTGTAACTGAACGGCACCTCCTGGGCCGCACTCCGGTTGTTATTGGACTGCATCTCCTGCGCTGAGCTCCGGGTGATGTTGGACTGCATCTCTTGCGCCGGGCTCCGAGCGTTACTGGACTGCATCTCCTGCGCGCGCTCCAGATGTTACTGGACTGCATCTCCTGCGCCGTGCCCAGGCTGTTACTGGACTGCATCTCCTGAGGCCGGGCTCCGAGCGTGTCTGGACTGCATCTCCTGCACCGGGCTCCAGGTGTTACTGGACTGCATCTCCTGCGCCGCTCTCCGAGCGTTACTGGACTGCATCTCCTGCGCCGGGCCCCGAGCGTTACTGGACTGCATCTCCTGCGCCGTGCTCCAGATGTTACTGGACTGCATCTCCTGCGCCGGGCCCCGAGCGTTACTGAACTGCATCTCCTGCGCCGTGCTCCAGATGTTACTGGACTGCATCTCCTGCGCCGTTACCGGACTGCATCTCCTGTCCAAAGCACAGATCACGTTCCGTGTTCCGTCAACAAGCTACTTGAGCCGCCGACGGCGTGACCACAGAAATAGAGCCGGCAGGTGGCCCGCGGCCGGACGCCGCTGTATTTGTTGGCGGCGGCCCGCAGCGTCGAGTCGACACCTTCGGCCCCGGCCGAGGCGGCTCGGGTGGTTAGCAATCTTGGCCCACGGAGGTGGACCAGCCGCTGCCTGCCGGGCGAGCTCGTGAGACTAGAAAGCGGGCCCAGATTGGTGGAGTCGGCGTTTTGAGAGAGACTTCAGGAACGTGTCACGCTCCTGTGCGGGGTGTAGTGTGTCCTGTTCATGACTTCCAGCTGGCGTTTTGGGGCCGGCAGGGTGCCGGTCACACTGCCGCGGCTCGGGCACCACAGGAATGGCAGCTTCTCGTATTGTTCAGTGAGTTGGAAGTCGACCTGCGGCGCCTCGTTTTCGGAGTATGATGAAATCATGCAACAGCCCTCCCCAGGTTTGAATGGCCGCCTCTGGGCGCTTTGACAACCGCAGACGGTGACACCTGGCGCCAGTTAGTGGTACTAGTAGTTCTGTACTCCCTCGCCTGTAGTGTGACGACAACTGATAACCTGACCGACATGGAACTATGGAGTGCACTGATTCCTGAGTAAGATGATGCCACGAGCCGCTGACATGATCGCCTGTAACCCCGTGTTTCTGTTTGTTTACCAAGTGATTCCGCCAGTGCCGTCATGCTCGTTGATCCGCCGCGCAGCGATAGTGTGGTGATGTCCTCACGTCAGTCTGAGTTAGTTAACGAACTGCCCACAACGGGACGTTCTAATCTTCGTAAGGTGGCAACGCGAATTGTGAATTAATTGTAAAATGATGAAAGCACCGTTTCACTGAACAGCGTATTCCCGGCTATAATTTTCTAGCGGTTGCTTAAGAGCCTGGCCGGCAATCGTTAGCTCTGGGGCCAAAAACATTCGGCCATTACGCCAGAGCCAAACTCACAGGCATTGGCACCTGTGCCCCAGGCCTCCTGCACCTCCGCTGCAATCGCCGGAGTCTGTTCGACGAATCGTTTTACCCCCGAGAGATGACGGCACACCGTGTGATTCGTCGCTCGGGAGCAATGACGTCTCATACCGCGTCGTTCACGCATCCAAGCTATGACGTCACGCCGCAATACGCGTCGATCGCGAGTGATGACGTCACACGCATGCCGTTCACGAGTCATCCCGATGACGTCACACTGTCTCCACGGTTGCAGCACGCCGATCCTGTCCGAGAGCGTTCTGGAGGGCACAGTGAAGAAGGACTGGGACGCCGCGGGCGAGGAGGTGCGAGCCTCATACGGAGAACACTACCGCGACGAGTTCAAGGTGAGACACTGTATTAAAGCTGTCATTCGTCCTGCTTCCCTCACTCGCCGGTTCATCACATGTCATACCATACGTCCCGGCAGCGTACCGCCTCGTAGAGGCAAGCTGCGACCGTGGGTCAAAAGACGGTTGAAGTGGCGACTGCCAGGCGCTCGCACAATCTCCAGAGAAGAGCCCCTGTGCGGAGTAACAGGTCGCTAGCGAGTGTCTCCCGCAAGGGTCTCAGTAATGTCACACCACTCACCTCATTCCGTTATGCCATGCTTCTAAAATGGTTAAACGTGGTGAAAAGAACCGTAACTTGTTCAAACCCAATCAAAATTTGGAGTAGCTGAGGTTCCTCAGCGAACACGATGTTGACAATCTATGCCTTATGTACTCGGCACACAGTGACTTCCTCCCAAGCGTCAGGACACCGCTGTTTTCTTGCAACAGACTCACCGTCGACCTCGCCTTGGCCGGGCTCGAGCCGCGTCGTTTCGGGATGCTGGTGTCCTTACCTGACTGCGTGCGGCTGAGCGGTAGTTCTCAGTCCTTAGCCCCGATGGGGCGTCCTCAGTCTTCAGTCCCAAGCGGCAGCCCCCGGTCCTCAGTCCCGAACGGCAGACCCAGCCCTCAGTCCCGAGCGGCAGTCTCAGCCCCGATGGGGCGTCCGCAGTCCTCAGTTCCGAGCGGCAGCCCTCAGTCCTCATCACCGAGGGGCCTCAGCCTCAGTCCCGAGCGGCCGTCCTCGGTCCTCAGTCCCGAGCGGCAGTCCCAGCCCTCAGTCCCGAACGGCAGTCCCAGCCCTCAGTCCCGAACGGCAGTCCCCTCGGATGAGCACCAGTGGCGGACAGTCCTTCGTTCTTGTTAGGGAATGCCACCCACATGCCCATCTGCGCAGAACCGATGTGCCCGCACATTCTCGTGTATATTACTGCACCCGTTGTGATGCATGATTTCGAGATGTGTGCACGTGGGCCGATTTGAAGGATGGCGTGCATTCCGATAGGGACACTCAATGTTTTTTTTTCATGAAGACTGGTAGCGGCGCGCCTTCAATACGCCATTCTCGACCGTTCCACTGTTTGATTATGACCTGGGTAGCAGATTGCCAGAGTATTTCGATAAAACACGTGCCTGTTTCCCGTAATCAGGTGATGACCAGCGTGCCTGCAAGCATCCTCTGATTGTGCAGATGTTAAACCGAGCACAGACTCCAGCACCTGACCCGAACTATTGGCAACCGAGCGTTTTCCGCGCTGTGTTCATCACATGGCCGTGGCGTTTCCATGGCAGCGGCGCCGGTAAATCGTGGACGTCACTGTTGTTATAGGTGGCGCATGGGCGACAGTGTGTTCAAATCTGTTTCGTTTCGCATTTTCAGGTCAAGTTCATGGGTGAACTGAAGAACGCGAGGCCGGCGAGCAAGATCTACGAGGTGGTCGACGATATTCTGGACGCGACTGTCGGCGTTGAGCCCCGGGTGAGTCCGGCGGCATGGAATCGTTCCCTGCCCTCCAATGGGCCTACGCAGCCCATAGAAGGGGCTGCTGTAGGTCCAGAGAGTAGAAACTCGCAGCCCACTGACCTCATCAAGGCGTGTAATTATGACAGCAATGCGAATGATGCGAACGGCGTCAACAATGTGGATCGGTACGGTGCGAGTGAGTCACTGAACCCACGGTAGAATTGTCCTGTCTTATCCTCAAGTGATATTTTTTGTCTCAAAACGGCAACACTGTGCGCGGGTACCCGCCCCGACGGCACACTGGTGTCTGGTTTCCAGCCGGCACCGCCGGCATACACTACAGCTCTAATGCGTGCATCCCATGTTCCGCGATGCTGACGCCTCCTTATGTGGTTTGACACGGCCGGCGCGTGTTACAGTCCCGGTACCTCCGTCTATTTCTCCTCGTTTGACGTGGCCGTGGGTAGTTTGACACGACCGGCGCGTGTAACAGTCCCGGTACCTTCTTCTAATACTCCTCTTTTGACATGTTCGTTCGTGGTTTGACACGACTGGCGCGTGCTGCAACCGCGGTATCTCCGTATAATGCTCCTCGCCCGTGTGTAGTTTGACACGACCGGTGGGTGTTGCAGGCGCGGTACGTGCCCAGCGCCGCGGTGACGCTGCGTTCGCAGCTCATCCAGTCCCTGCCCTTGCCGGTGGTCGATTCCATGCTGGAGTCGCGAGCCTGCCCGCCCACGCCACCGGCAGCAGGTGCGACATCTATTGATGTTGTTTTGAACTTTGAAAGATGGCCGTGCGGGCCACGCCGCGCATAGCAAAAGTAACAACTATTGGAACAACGTTGTCCATTTTTATTATTGTCTAGAAAACAGAAATGCTACAGACGACTGGGTCTGTGACACTGCAGACGTAAGTTAAAAATACGTGCATTTACCTGCACAGCTGAACCATACCTGTATTTAACGTCGGTGCGACAAGTATAATTGCGAACATGTCTGTGACGGGGTAAGTCCATGTACGGTCTGGTTTATCCGTTTCGCTGAAGCCTGATGGAAGGCTCGTTGCATTAAGGCGGGCATGTGCACAATATACACGGACGGCAAACCTCTAGTCGAAGCCGTAAATGGCCTTCGCGTCCGTGCGATCGCGCGATGGTATTCCTCATGCGTTTTCTGCCAATGCATGTGGCCTCAAGCCACCTGTAAACATTCGAATACGTTAGTAAGTCATGCACTGGACACTAGCTTCGATAGTCAGGTTGGTGCTACTACACGGGGCTGGCTCAGGAGGGTCTTGTGAGTCCCGTAAGATAGGATGTCGTGTAAGAGTCCGGCAGGCTCTGAGGTTCAGCGACCCTGACACGCTGACTCTGCCGGCAGTGATCCGCCAGCGACAGCGGCAGCTGAAGAACCCCTACACCATGCCGCAGAAGCCGTTCCTGAAGCGCTTCTTCTCGGTGCCGCACTTCGAAAAGCCGCCACCCAGCCCGGCGCACGATGACCACCGTCCGCCCAGCTTCGCAGAGGCTCCAGAACAGACCCGGGCAGAGGTGTCCGCCGAGAGCGATCACGCCCCGCACACTCTCTCTGAAGCCATCGCCGAGGAGAACGAGGAGTAGGGCCACCGCTCGGCACGAGCAGCGGCACGGGCTCGGTCCGAGCCGGCCGCAGAGGCGGAGGAGGCGGATGTGTGACCCAGACCTCGGTCTGAGGCGGTCACCGAAGAGGAAAGGAATGGAGTCGCCCACCGGTCCCGTGCAGTTTGGAGCGATTTGGACTCGGTCTGCGTCGGTAGCCGAGGAGAGCAAGGAGCAGAGGCGTGATTGGTGGCCTGGGCTAACTTAAGGGCTGCAGCCGAGAAGAAGGAGGAACCGGGCCATTACCTGACACGTGCAGCGGCCCGGGAAGTGTGAAAGGTCGGGGAGCGGTGTGCCAGCAGCACGTGCCTCACACAGAGGCGATCGCGGGGGGCGTACAAGTGTGCCGTGTCTCTGGGGCTTAAAGCTGAGACCAAGGTACAAATATGTAGGCCATACGGGAGACTTTAGTCTCTAGTGTGTCCAAGAAAAAAAATATATGACGTCGAAATTCTGGCGTTCTCTTTAGCTAGGAGTGTACGCCTAATCATGACCGGCCAACTTATGCAATAGCGTGTAAATATTTCGCGATCACTTACATGATGTGTGCAATATATAAAAACGTGTCGATGAGAGCCGTAACAAAGCGACCAGGAGCCTCTGACATCCCATTACAATTACCTTAACGAAGTGTCTTGTCCACATACGCGAATGGGCCTTGAAATGTTAGCGATGATTTTGGGGTGGACATATTTCGTGCGTCTAGATATTGCTGTTCTACGGTCCACAGCTGCGGAGTATTACCAATCAGCATGCTGCCTCTGTGGGCGTAGTCACAGGGCTGGCCTTTCTGTTCATTCTCGTCTGATGCTTACGAACAACAGGCGGTCGAAGATTTTAGCGTCGTCATAGGCAGATGACTTGTGAGACTGCTGTGTCTGTGCAGTGTTCGCTCCGAATGATAATTAATGTTGTGAGTAACTTCAGCAAGGCATAGTTCAGTTGTGCTTGTTAAATAAATGTACTGCGCTGTGCAGGTAACTTCGTGAATGCTTGGACGACGTTAAGTCGGAGAAACCTGCATCATCCCACGTTGAGCAGTAAATCAGTTCGACGGCTTGTACGGGATGAGACAGGCGATGCGACGGCTGACTGCGGATGCTACTATCATACTGTGTGTACTGAAGGCGACGAGAATGGAGCCAAATGTCTTTGAGGACCCCTACGAATTTATTTATCGTACATTTGTCAACAGAATTAGTTTCATTAATGCAGTGGAATATCCGTCTGTCCTGGGACTTGAGCAGGCCGAGAAACCGGCTGATATATATTTCACGCGCTGATTTACAGCACACCTTGCTTCACAAATTACAAGTACATGTACTCCTAGTTGACACCTATTTAGATCGCATTGCTCTGGACCTGACATGCCGTGGTCAGTTCAGTGGATTAAGTTTTGCTCCGTCAATATAGGTGTTTGAGCTGGCTTGACATGGCTTGGGAGGTGATCAGGTACATGACATTTTTGGCACGACACTTTCCTACGAACCCCGCAATGCAGGAATCGCATGCCTTTTCCCAGCTTGAGCAGGGTGGTAGGCCAAGTGCTGGAAGTCGTCAGGTGGGCAACTAATGCTTTACTGCTTTTTCAGGCAACTGCGTTGTGGTAACCATGGTAATAATGCTAACTTGACACTTTTAGCAACACTTTAATTAGTGAGTATACCTCCCTGACAGAGCATCCCCTACGGAAGGAAGACGAATTGTTGCGAGGTCTATGGAACATATCTCTGATTATATCATGCTCCAAGGTAGTGTTCCACATGTGTATGGGATTTGAACTGAGCTAGCCATCTTCAAGATCATTCAGCAGAGTTCACGGCCCACACTTCTAAGACTTGAAAGCCTTTAGCATCTGAGCGACACGCTTGCAAAGATGTTCGGGGTTTTCGGAAAGACTTCCAAGGTCACCCAGGCATCCATGACGTCATAATAACGCCATCCAAGTGACCAAACAAACATGCGTTGAGGGGCATATTTGCTTAACAGAGAAATTGCGTCGCCCTTGGAAGTTCTTTCGACTTAAAAGTATACCAATGGTTAAAAGAGAGCCTATATCATCATATATGATGCTTACTTTCATATGTTCAAACGTGAGACATTCCTATTAATGAAAGTTGGATGCACAGATTGGCAGAACAGAACGATACCAGGGTTCGCGGGCTCGATAAAAGGATCTATGTCTGAGGTTATGCGGTAGTTCCTACTTTCTACCGTCACTAGCTTGTCTAAATATGGGGCAATCCTCTCGTCGCCTGCATGGTCCATAGCCAAGGTCAAACTGGGACGTTTATCGTCACTGAACTTTGAAGAAGTGGTTCGGTCGACTCTGCGACAGCGCATCGCCGAATGCCCGGAAATGCTGCCGCATGCTTTTGCAGCCGTAATTTGCACAGACCCTGCGCGAAATTTTAAATGGCTTTAGCTGTGCAAAGAAGGCAATGAGCTGGAATTGGTTTTGAACTAAGGTGGGAAGTAAAAACTTTGGTCGCAGAAAAGACTTGACAGAAACGTAACCAAAACAAAAATGAGGAAACAGTGAATCAGTGAGATGTCCTGGCTAATAAAAACATGCCTTCCAATGAGGCGTGAAATTGATCCCATAAACATCACAAACATTAAGGCCTAAGGCCTAATTAGAAGGCCTTCTAACAGGCTTCAGTGAAACGGATACGTCAGACCGTACAGGGACTTAACCCGTCACAGACATATCCGTAATTATACCTGTCGCACCTAAGTTAAGTGCAGGTATGGTTCAGCTGCGCAGGCGAATACAAGTATTTGCAACTTACGTCTGCAATGTCACAGACCCAGTACTTCCGAAACACTTCTGCTTGAAAAAACATGAAGCATTGCTATTTAACTCATTTTTTATCGTCGTTATGCGCCACGCGGCCACGCGCCATGTGCCAAAGTTCAAAACAATATCAATAGATGTCGCGCCTGCCGCCGGTGGCGTGGGCTCGCAGCCTCGCGACTTCAGCAAAGAGTCGACCACCGGCAAGGGCAGGGACTGGATGAGCTGCGAAGCGCAGCGTCACACCGGTGCCTGGGCCACGTTAACACGCGCCTGCAACACAATACAACAAACATATATATATATATATATATATATATATATATATTCTGATTACTGCCTAGCATCTAAAAACTCAAGGGTTATGCAAGAAATTGTTCTTCTGTTTAGGACTGGAGGGAGCTCGTTGATGATTATGGTTTTGATAAGACAGTAGTAATAAACTTATTCCTCGAAGAAAAACCAGGAGAATGGAGAGAGAGAGAGAGAGAGAGAGAGAGAGAGAGAGAGAGATATATATATATATATATATATATATATATATATATATATATATATATATATATATATATGTATATATATATATATGCGTGATATTTTCGTATCCAAAACTCCAGTCTCCAGATTTTTTTATTTCTGAGGAATATGACTATTACTAGTGCCTTATCAATGTGCATAATTATTCTCGCAAACGCACTTAACAGCTTACATAAATGTGCTTTCCCAAATTTTAGGGCGTGTTTTGTCATTGCGCGTCTGAAGAATACAAGTGTTGTCCGTCAGTTGTTGTCATGTAAATGTCCTGTCATGTTCGTGTCGCATTTGCTCCAGAGCTGCCTCGTCACGTGAGTGTATTGTCAGGCGTTGTAAGAGTGTTGTGATTACACCAATGAGGTGTATGGAAGGAAGTTTGCAGTCTTCGATATTGCAGTTGAATTCATACGCTACATTGATGCATTTTGCTTTGCCGGCTTTGTCTGGGACGTTTCTCATAAGAATGTTAAAAGATTTCCATATTACGATAATAAATGACGACTTACCGTAGAGCTGTTTCGTCTCGTTTGTAGGTAGATGCCACTTTATTTTGATAATGCCATTGAACGGTTGGTTGTCGCCTTATCTTGGCTTGTTTTCAGTGTCTTGTCACACGTTGTTGCAATTTGTAATCAACGTCGGAGTTTGAAAAAAACCGTTGTTCGCCAAGATCTGTCTGATTCGTACCAATTACGAATAGCAGTCCTGTCCAATCGAAGCAATGCTGAAATGCTCGTTTAAGGAATGACCTTGTGGCATTGACTTTGTAGCGTCGAGGACACCCACTGTGAGCATTTAAGCACCCTTTGTCGTTAGTCTGAGTTCGGTATACAGTCGTTCTAAATCCCTGTCCTCGTCCATCAACACCCACGTCAAGAAAGGGTTTCATATTTTGCACACTTAATTCTTTCGTGAATTTGAAACCAGGTTACTTTTCAAAGGTATGTTTGAGGCGTTTTAGCTGATCAATGTCCCTAATCATTTATATCGTGATCATAAGGTGTCATAATATAACAATATTATGATATCTATGACAAATAATCATAAAGATATCTGTACATAGCGACAGTGAATGTCCGGTCTTATGTCGTCGTTTTGCAGTGTGTCGGCTTGTACACGTCCCACATAAAGAAATCAGCAAATAAATGTCTAAGAGGAGAGCCATCGCAATGCCCCCAAATTGGCATATGTACGTGCTGTTTCATGTACGCGCGATATACATCGGACGCATATGAAACAAACATTCAAATTGCATTAGTTCTGAGTGAATATGGTTTTATTGTCGCAAGGGAGAAGGCCGAGACAGGTCGTCAGGAAATAGCGAAGCATTTATCATTTCAAGTGTATCAGCTACCTCACTATATTATTTGTTAAACTTGGGTGTCCTGATTCACCTGCCCACATGCTCCACAGGTGTGAGAACATGACCAGAGAACGCGACAGCCAGGCTTCCCCTGCTTTGGACGTTTCGGCTGTTTGTTGTTACGCTGTGTCGTTAGGAGGTTACGTTATAGACACCATAAGGGACCCAATTTGACCTCCGTCTACCTGAGCTCGTGCTGTCATTTCCTAATTTGCATAATATATTCACAATGCACCCTACTCCTTTCGCTGAGTGTGCCGTCGAAAATGTCGACGGTGATTAGTACAGCACCTATGAGTTTGCCAAAGAGCGCAGTGAAGTGGAGCATGGGGGGGAGCTAAGGGGACCCATGTCTTCGCTGTAAGGGCCTGGTTTCGGATTCGGGGTTTCTTTTTATAATCGGGATGACATTGTGATGCCTTTCGGCCGTTTTGTACGCTTTATAATCGCTGTGAATGTCCTATACTACCAAGCATAACTAAAGCCTTCGGCAGCAGTGTGGCCCCGCCACCTCCAGGGGAGGACATGGTCGCAAAACATGGCACGGACATGGCCGACATGGCTCCCGCTTGACCACGCCCACGCAGGTGATCTACAGTTTCCGACGGATGTTGTAGTCGAATTCGCCGACACTCTACATTCTGCCGGGAGTGCAATCGTGAAGTTCCCGGAAGATTTTCCTGCCGGCGAAGCTGCGACCCGGCCCCACGAACAATCTGTATTCCGCCGCGGCGCCGTCACGGTGATCTATATTCCGCGGGCGCCGTGAGCTGGGCAGCGGACAGGCCGCCTGCACGAGTAATGACCTGTATCGAGCCATCGGCGCTGGGCGTGCCGGCGCCGTCGTAACGAGCGCTAAATCAACCCGCCGTCGCTGCCGCCCGTCCCGCGGCGGTGATGGCGCGGCCGCGGCAAACATGGCGCGGCGGGTGTAGCGATGACCTGACCCGCTGCGATCCGCTGCGAGGCGACGCCTGGCCGACAGCCGGGCGTTCTCGCGAACCGCGGCTGGCGTACAAGTGGCACGTAATGTCCAGGGCGGATCAAAGCCAGTCCCGAACACGGCTTCATTTTCCAGGCAGTAAAACTGCGGCCGTTAAGTGCGGCGAAAAAGGAGCAGCTTTGTCGCCTAAAACGCCGCGCCTGAGACATGCCGCCATGAGACGCGTGAGGCAACGGACGACTTGGCATTCAATCGCAACAGTGAAATACGTGACGCTTTCAGCACATTCGGCCGGGCGCATTAATAGCTCGTTCTTTCCATTCAGACGGTGCGGTG